TAGGGAGTTTAGAGGAGTTTGAGTTAGATAACCGATACACAACTCCTATAGCTAGTGATTTGATTGCTTAAAGGTATATAGTGTCCCCATATTTTATCAAAAATCTTGGAATAGTTTATTTTGCTATCGTTGACGGCTAGCAGGAAACAACCCTTTCGTATAGCGCAGATGTACAACTTACTATCAAAACAGCAAACGCTAAACGAATGGTGTGCTTACATTTTTCTCAGCGCAAAAGAGCGTGGTTTGGATCAAAGTGAGACACTGCTACACTGGAAAACAAAAGGGCCTCAGCATCAAAACGTTGCGAACCCATTTGAAATAGGGTGTGACCAAGCAACGCTTTTACTACAATTCCATTCCTTTATTAAATGCAGAAATATCATATCAAACTTTTACTGTTTGCTTATTTGATAGGCTTCTGTTTAAACTAAAGTTTCCGATGTAAGATCTTGATGAACGAAGCAAAAGGTTGACTCAAATGACTCAAATGGCGGACTCAAATGGCGGAGCTAAAATAAACTTGCATGAGTTCTCTTTTGATTAAGTGAAAAAAAAGTGCTGATTTTCTACTCGATAAAGAATGGCGTGAGAGAATCTCGTTTGGGTGAAAATCATCCATTTTTTGGTCAAACTCTGATCTATCGAAGCTCATAATTATCTTACACGTCTCTTAAGAGACATAATTATGTCTTTTTGTTACTCGTTTTAGAATTTTCATAAATACGAATCAAACAATGCTCGACTGACTCTTATATTCGGTAATTGATATGAAAAATGAGTGACGATGGAAAAGAAAAGCCTCAGCAATTAGCTACATCTTCGCCATGTCCGTTGATTGAAACGAAAATATTTTATTATATCGATGATCAAGAGCCACCTTATCTAACAAAATTATGTCAACAACATCCAGTTAAACTAAAAGATTTTAAGAATGCTCTCGATCGAAATTGTTCAAACCATAAATTTTTCTTCATGGCGTCTGATAATACAATTGGAAAAGTGAAAGAAGAAATAATAAACGATGATCAAATATTACCTTATGCAGATAATAGTACCGATCGAATATTGGCCTATCTCGTGTCTATCGAAGGTATGTTGGCGGGTTTTTTTTCGATCCATAATTTGAAACTCCTCAATATTTTTTTCGGAAGGGAGTACAACATCGGGAGACGATCGTTCTTCTAAAGTGTCAAAATGGAAGAAAGCAGATGAACTCAAAACACAAGTTGCACCAATGATGGCTTGGTTTCTGCCACCTCCAATGTATTCAGGAGGGTATTTTCCTCTTTTTTCCAATAAGGGTCCAAGAGGAATGATGCCAAGGGTGTCTCCGTTTCTGCCACCTCCGCCACCTATAACTGGATTTCAACAAAGTATGTAACTTTTCGCAAGATTATTTTTTCATAATGTTGAACACGCTGTCTGATTGCTCAAGGTCATATCTGCTAGATTTACACTATTCAGTGTAGGTTGTAGTTTCGCGTGTATCTGAAAACTGTAAAAGTCATCTAGTCTATTGTGTGGCTTAGCAAATATATTTACATTGAGTTCTCTTTCTTTTGTAGGTGGTGGATCAATGAAAGTCCGGTCCCTTTAGTCCGGCGATGGTTCAAGCGGACAAGCCACATCTACAACTGGTGAGGGAACTTAACCTTATTGCGTGTTTACTAGAGCAGCGATCGGAGACACATAAAATATGAAAAACAATGCTTCGCATATGGGTTCTATCCACCAAGAAATGATACTGGCTGTTTTGAAGCGTTGTCTTTATGGAAGATAATAAGATAAAGAAGAGAACTAGATAGCGCACTTGACCTGAAATTAAAGTTTGAACTACATGCGATTTATCAGAAGCGGAATACGTGGCAGATTTTAACTGCACTGGCGGGATAAATTTTCCGTAAAGTTGATAAATTTGTCTTTTTACGCTGTATAAGTGCCGAGATCGTATGAAAGCTACATAAATCGATAGTGGAGAGCGTGAGCTACATGTTGGTAAAATCATAAATTTGAAAAAGGGTTTTTTTAATGCGAATTTAAACCAAAATTGTCATATTATTCAGTTTGACTGGTCAATCTCAGGAATGAGTAGGTGAAAAGGCGTCGAAACGTGTTAATATCATGTTAATTTTTCGATTAAAAGATGGGTCAAATCCTTTCATTTAACTTCCAGACTATATTTATCCTACTTAGTTTTTCCCCTGTTTTGAATGGCTTAAGCAGTCTTTTTTCATCCATTCATTCCTGAGTTTGTGCAGCCAAACTGAATAGTATGGCAATTTTGACTTAGAGTCACTTTTTCACTTTAAAGAAAAAACCTTTTCAAAATTATGCTTTTACCAAAATGTAGTTCATGCTCTCCTCCATCGATTTATGTAGTTTTCATATTTTGTCGCTACTTATACAACGTAAAATAAGATTTTAACGACTGTACGGAAAATTTTTGCTGACCTGGAAATGTTCACTTTTCAGTCTAATGAGCAACAATGAATATTTCTAACTTTTTTTATCTGCAAATATATTGGAGAAAGCGAACAATTTCTTCCATAACTGTATGTTTTTCTATTTAGGTGGATCATCGTCAACCAGCAGTTCGCTCAGAAGAAAAGGAAGTGTTCAATCCAGACTTCGTGAGCAAGTTATGGAACGGGATGAGGATGTATCATAACTGGCTCAAAGAATCATCTTACGTTTGTAGACATTTTAATTTCTCTTCCAGATGAAAAGATATTATTATTTAAACCTTTTGTAGTGTGTGACGTTTCGTTGTAGTTTACGACTTCATCAGACGAATATGAAATAAGAATAATATAACAAATTGACAGCCATATTTATATATATATAAGTCGATGAGAAGTAGAAGATGGTTCAGAAAAGATTCAGCAGCAGATCGTCTTCTTAATTACCACTCGAGTCATGGAAAATCTAATAAAGAAAATATTGTTAAAAACATGACAAAAAGAATCATCCAAACAACTCGAGATGCAAATGAACAACGAGAAGACCTTGACAAATTAAAACACATGTTAATTAATTCCAATTATCCAAACAACGAAATTGAAAGACTGATGAAAGAAGCTTGTCGAACATCCGCTGTAAATTATACTTCAGCAACCAATAACAAAGAGCTAAAATTCAGCATTAGTCCCCATATGTTAACCCATTAATCCAGACTATTGCTTTACCGTCTTGTTCCGTATCACTATTATAACAAAAATCAAACAACAGACTAGCCTATCATTGCGCATATATATATATATATATAAATATGGCTGTCAATTTGTTATATTATTCTTATTTCATATTCGTCTGATGAAGTTGTAAACTACAACGAAACGTCACACACTACAAAAGATTTAAATAATAACATCTTTTCATCTGGAAGAGAAATTAAAATGTCTACAAAGTTATCAACCTTCCTTACAAAACAACAATCATCTTACGTGTGTCCACCTATTGCCACGTGGCTTATTTATCCAAACTGGCGTATTGGACATAGATACGCCCGAAAATGCCTTCATGGTCGACAATGACCTTGAAAAGAAATTTGATGATAATTGTTGGATATTTAATGAAGATGGGGTGATTGAAATTCTTTGTAAACATTTAGTTGGTGTCGATGATTTGTTAAAAAGGTTGATCGAATGGGTGATTTTTTTGTGAGTGATTGTACTTGCGATCTACAAAAAGGAATATATCATCAAACGAAATGCAATGGCAAAAGCCGATGTCAAACAAAGGTGCCCCAAATGTTGGAAAATGGTTTTATCGGTAAATTTAACTGAGCACGAACGAATAAGTTGT